CATGTGTTGTTTTTACATCGTCCAATTATTTTACATGGGATTATACACTTAAAAGCAATTAAATCGATATAAACCAACTTGTGCACCTTTTTGACTGAAACAATTTCAAAATACCCCATTACCGATACTTTGCCAAAAATTAAAATAGTAAAGAATGGAACGTAAAAGAAAAAATTTCGCCCCTTTAAGATGATCCTTCAAAGCCGTAAATTGGAGATTCCAGGACGGTGGGTAGAGTAATTGTATTCTTCCAACAGCTGTGTAGCTGTGTAGAGTACTTGTATCCAGCTTCGAACAGGTAAACAAGCTAAACAGCTGTTGAATGTTTTTGATATACGAAATTCATTGATTTTGATCGAGACAAAGCGACTATGGAGGTAACGAGTAAAAGGCATCGGTCGGGCATCACTAAAATCTTGAAAGATTGCCAAATTGGATTTTTTTTTTCTATTTTGAATATAACTGTTCCTTGTTTTAATTGAACAAAGAGGACATCATGATACGTTGATTAAAAACTGAATACCTCCAGTGCTTGTTTTTCAATAGAGGTAATCGAAACAAGATTCATCAACTGAACTGCGAGAGACGACGCGTGGGTTAGGACACTCATTAAACTCCACAAGGGTAATGTTGCTCTAATAAAAAGTTTAACTTAAAATTAACGCTTGTATTACCAATAATCCTTCACTCAGGGAGCTTCAAATCACTCGAGTTTGCATACAGAAATGCTGTCCAATTCATCTGACGCATTAGATAGGTTTTGCTCTGTTTTTACCTATAGAAATGTAAGCATCTCATTTAACTATTGGACAACTATGGTAACCAGTGTTTTTGCGTTTCTTCTCGCTCCCATGACAGTGACAGGGAATGCTTTCGTTTTGGCAGCAATTTGGAGAAACCCGGCGCTAAGGACTCCATCCTATGTGCTTCTTGCTGGATTGGCCTTCCCGAATTTTTGCACAGGACTAATAAGTTTGCCACTTGCAGCTGTGTCTAACTTAGCACATTTAAGGGAAAGCAGAATGACATGTACTCTTGTTCTGATTTCATATTGTGTAAGTCAGTTTTGCGCCTACTTGACGGTCGTTGTCATAGCGGTGGCTGCTGCAGAAAGATGGCTTTGCATGAGCCGGAGGTCTCTTCTTACAGTACGCCGAGTTACCATTCTCTACATCATAGTGGTGTTCTTAATAACCGCCTTTGTAACTGTCCGCGTTTTCAGTTTTGGGTATCTATCGAAGGACATAGACAATTTGCTGAATGGAGCTTTTTTGACAGCAGCAGCGATTTGTATTCTGGTTATGGCAGTTTCTTATTACAAGGTGTTTAGAATAATTCGTCACCATCAAAAAGGAGTTCAAGCAAATCATAGTTCCATCAATATTTCAAAATACAAAAAATCTATATTCACCGTTCTATATATACTTGCACTTTTTGTGATCAGTTACCTTCCCTATCTGGGTAACGCGTTAACCTTTTACGTTTTGCAAGAATTCGGAGACATGTTCCTAGCATGCGTCAAGTTTACTTCGATTATAATTTATGTTTCCTCGCTTTTAAATCCTTTGCTTTATTGCTGGAGGATTAAGGAGATAAAGATGGGTGTAAAAAGCTTAGTGAGAAAACTATTTTGTAAACAAGCAGCAAAGAATGAGGAATAACGACATATTTTCACTAGTAAGTTTCCCTTGACAAGTTGTGCGTGGCAGAATAGGTAGAAGAAAACTATCAAAAACGAATACTGATGGTGTAAGTGACTTTTTAAGGACGTTTCCAAAGGAAACAGTAAAAGATTTTAGATTCTTACTGCAGGAATGCTAAGGATACTAGCCGATTTTCTTGACTATTAACTACCATGAAAAC